GTGAACACCAAGAATGAGGCTGACTACAAGAGTAGAGGAGCTTATGCTGATTACAAGCAAATGAAGTGCTAGTTTTCAGTGACCTACTGTGAAGGCTATTCCCGGAAACAGCTGAATTCAGTTGGTAGAGCAATTATGAGAAATGTTAAACACTCCAAATGGCTTAGAGATGTGTCTTGCCACTGAATTACCTTTCCTTCTCAGTAATTCTTGCTCTAGGGTCCCTGTGGTTTGGCACAGGTCATGATAATGTGGAATAAAAAATGGAGGCTGACTCCAGATGAGCCTCCGGGACCTAGACTGTAATGACCCACGGCTCAGGAGCTGCACTCAAGCCAAGCAAAACACAAAGCAGACGCCAAGTGAGATGGGGAGAGCCCGGATCACAGACCAGGCCAGCGGCTTCTGAAGGTTTCAAAGCAAATACAGACTAGACACCTTTACAACGGAGGGAAAACTGCAGGAAGACAACATTAAGAACTGTCTGGAACTGGGGCTGGGGAGTCTCAGATCACACTGCTGAATTCCTAATGACCCCATGTGTGATGCCATTCTGGGCTATGGAATATACATTTTTCTCTAGGAGCTCCTCAAACTGTCTTCTGTTCATGCATAATTTTCTATTTTCTGAGTACACTAAATTCTTTTGTTAGTTATTCCTATTCCCTTTATGCCTTTCACAAATGAGAAAATGAAAGTATTCAGTTGAATATGATCATATAACATAAGGATACAGAACAGAATGCATAGTACACAGGCACTGAATGTATGTGCATCAAATATCTCCGAGAAGAGACTGATAATTCCACTAATAGTGCTTGTACTGGAGAGAGGAGCTGGGAGCTGAGAGGGGGCAGGCAGTGGCTTACTCTTCACTCTTCCTCCTTTTATACCTCTTAAACTTTGTGCTGTGTGCACCAATCACCTATATACCCCCAAACATTTATAGTCAGTCCTTTGTATACGCAGATGTGGAGCCCATGGAGAGGAAGGCCAACTGGAAGATTTCAGCATCCACAGGTTTTAGTATCTGAGAGGGATCCTGGATCCAATCCCTCATAGATACCAAGGGACGACTGTAATTATAAATAGAAATAACTCTTACAGAACGTAAGGAGCTCCATCCTATCTCCTTCCTGCCCTGCACATTGGCCTGGGCCACAGAGAAAGTCTCTGTCTCAAAAAAAAAAAAAAAAAAAAAAAAAAACTATAAGATAACTGGCCTGGACCCTCATGAGAGGGTCATGAGAGTGACTGTTATGAAAAGCAAAAAAATGCTGTGGTAGGGGAGGGGGCTGTTCTAGACTAAAAGAGGCAAAGTAAGGTGTGAACTTTGGCTCCTAGGAGGACAGCAGGGAGAGGGGACAATTATAAAAGATACTTTTGGGACAAACGATAAAATTGAATTTGAGTTGGATTTTATAAGACAGTATGGGATTACTGATAATTTTCTTAGGCATGATAATGGTGTTGAAGTTGTATTAGAGAAAGTCCTTACTCTTACGAGACATAATGAAGTATTTAGAGGTAAAGTATTAAGCGGCTTATAATTTACTTTCAAATGATTTGGGGGAGGGGGTAGAGAGAGTACTATAAATATTTGGAGAGAAACACAGCAAGTGAGGCAACATGGTAACAATTAATGAACCTAACTGAGGGCACGGGGGTTTTACTTTTCTTTCAACCTTTTCGTAGGTTTAAAATTTTTCAAGTTAAAAAGTTGGGAAATAAAGGAGAAAGTTTAAAAATGAAACCAAACAAAAAAAGGGAGAACAAATAAGAGTCCTGGGCTCTATGCTACCATCTCCTGCTAGCCTTCTGACTGCAGGGAAAATCCACCTGTCTGTGGAAAGAGGACGGTGGAGTACATGGCTTCCGAGGTGATCCCCGTTCTAAAGTCTGTGGACACGACCAGGAGTTTGCAGGAACAGGACTCACATGCCTTGCTGGGTCCACCTTGTCCCTCCAGACACTCACCCAGGTATCAGTTTTTCTGACAGAGGCTCAAAGAGCCTGTTTTGTGATGCTTTAAGGTCTCTTCCTTTGGTTGGAAAGATTTTAATACACTGGTTTCTTAAGACTTTCTATGGTCTTAAATAAGGCTCTAATGTAACTGTAATGAATGCGATGGAACTAAAACCACTAATGTGCTTCTTGTTAAGAATTTAATGGCATAAACAATGACTTCAAGGCCTGAAAAACTGATTTTATCTCGGTGTCTTGCTGCAATTTCACTTGGATTTTTCAGTCAGATGTTACTATGGTTGTCTTCTCAATATATCTGTGGTTGTGCTGATAAAGACTGAGGAAATTCTTTACACGATTGTGGCAACTGAAGAGTGTATTAGCAAAACACTGTTTTAGGGATGATACCCACAGAGGCATGTGTGAAGAAGCACGCTCTGCTCGCACATTGCTCACTGAACCTTCTATCAGAGTGAGTAGTTTTCATCCTCTCCCTCACTGGGCTGCCCAGCAGAATGCTCTACTCTTAGGAAGTGCTCAGGTCATGTTTGTAATTTCACCGAATTTAACTGACATCCAGCTGGTCATATGGCAACAGTTTGGTTTGTAACTGGCAATAAAAAAAATGAAACAACATCTTGTGAAATGCTCATTTCCTTGACATTGTTCCTTTTGTGTGTGTGACAAATCTCGTTTCATTAATAGTTCTTCCATATTATACACTTTTATAAGTGAGAACTGAATAAATGGAGATCTTTCTATACACTCGGCTGCGTGAGATGCAATGAAATACTCAGCCTGCTGTGTGACAGTCATACCACCTCCCTGGAGGCGTCGGAACGGCTCCCTGAACACCAGCAGCCTTGCCACCTTCTTCCCTGTCTCATCCTTGACCCAGTCCTGGGGAGGGAGCTGTGTCAACCAATTTGTGAGTTAATTCCTAATGAATTTTCTTTCTAAAAACTTGGGAGAGGTAGTTTCACATGTCAGAGCAGTTCTGCTCTCAAAAATGTAGACATCCTATTTCTAACAGGAGATTTTATTCAAGCTAACTCCGAATCTGCCAATTTTAATGGTAGTATATTTGCTATGGTCTACATTGGTTTAAAACCTCCCTGTAGGGCCAGGCGCGGTGGCTCCCACCTGTAATCCCAGCACTTTGGGAGGCTGAGATGGGCAGATCAAGAGGTCAGGAGTTTGAGATCAGCCTGACCAACATGGTGAAGCTCTGTCTCTACTAAAAATACAAAAATTAGCCGGACATGGTGGTGGGCACGGTGGTGGGCACCTGTAATCCCAGCTACTCAGGAGGCTGAAGCAGAAGAATCGCTTGAACCCGGGAGGCAGGGGTTGCAGTGAGCCGAGATCGCGCCATTGCACTCCAGCCTGGATGACAGAGTGAGATACTATCTAGAAACAAAACAAAACAAAACAAAACCTCCCTATAGCTCAAAGAGAGCTGAGGAACACTGAAATTCAAGATCCATAAAACAGGAAAATGGACTGATCCAAATATTGGCAACACTCAAAGGTTTTGAAACATTAGGTATGATATGGGTATTTATGCTGATACAATAGATGTCTAACTATTCTTTAGTCATCAGTGGTCCAAGTGATTTAAGAGCTATAATCTATCTCATACTAGAAAGGACCTAAAATATTTTAAAATAAACATTTTCTATAAACACATAAAGCATAAAAAAAATCAAGGAAAACTTATATCTGAAGGAAGCAAGGGTGAAGAAAAGGAAAAAGTTGAACACCGGTCTGCAAGCCTTGAGACATAACGAAGTTGTCATAGCTGGTCTTTGATTTTGGCTCTGAGCTTCCTGGCAACTAAAACCAAGAGGGAATCTTAAGCGGCTCCATGGCTTTCACTAATCACAAGGGGAGACACATTTCAGTTCTTCAAGGGAAACAAAGCTGCTCCCCACGGTGAAGGTCCATGTCTTATTTGTATTCGTGTCCTGTACTTGGACAGAGTCCGGCAACCCACAGCATTCATTAGCTGAAGCTGCCCTTCTTCCACTTAATTCTAAAAGGAATTCCTCATGTAAAGCTTCACACAAGGGGCCCTGGGAAATTCAGGGGGGCAGTATCCTTAATAATAGGCCTAAAGGAAATGAAGCGATGGGTTTCATCAATCTGTTTCTTGTTGCGTACCTCATAACACAGAGACACAACTCAGGGAAGCAATCCTGAGGTGCATGTGTGATGTCAAGCCTAATAGCAATCTAAGATCCCCCGTTTCTGAAGGACATGTTTGATCTGTAATGAAATCCAGTCTGTCTATGGACTATGTGTCCTTCATGCACGTCTGCACATACAGCATTTCTCCTGATTGAACTTTTGATAATAATTCCATGGCAGGTGACTGAATTCAAGGTTGTTTGCTCTGGTAAGGGCCAGAAGTGCAGGTGCTCTCTGCGGCTGACTAAGAGAGGATTAATAGGCTCATATCAAGCAGTAACACGGCAGCACCGCAGATCCCTTCTCCACCCTCAGACTTCTGAAATGGAGGGTGTAGCACAAACTAAGAATACCAAAATGGAAACAGTTGAAAAGGAAGGCTGCTTTTCTCCTGGGATAATCATCGTCATTGTTAGCTGGGGAGACACCAGTGACTGTATAACCCTTGCCCACATGGAAATGGAACGTGATAGTGAAGCTTTCAGGGTGGACTCGAACTTTGGAAGGCTGCTTGGCTAGTGATGGGACAAGAGGGGGTGGGTATGGGGAATTAGGGTAAGGACAGGAGACTCTGAGGAGTCTGGGAACAGACTTTTGCTTCTAAGCAGCTCATTTTTTTTCTAACATCATGGCTGCAGCATTTCTTCTGCAGTAATCAGTCTTTTAAATTATGGCATTATTTTACAATTACTCCTTCAGATAAAACAAAAGCTTCACTTTCTCTGCACTGATGAAAGAGCTGGTGAGAGGATGAAGATTTTCATTCACTCTGGATGGAGTTTGAATCTACCTATCCATCATCGTGGTCAATGACGCCTCTCATTATTCTTAGTTCATGTCATTACCTTGAACTTCTCCTCATAGTTCTCGAAGGCTTCCATGACCATACACACAGCCTCCATCGTGCGCTCGAGCCGGCCATCCATTCTGTTGAAACGGTACATGCTACCAGACACATCCACCACCAGGCGCAGACGCTTGGGTTTCTGTTGTGGGCTGCCAAGCTGAGGGAAGGAATAACAGAAAAGCCATTTGTGAACTGGCAAACTTCCCCTGGTGGCTGTCTTGGGGATCTCATAGAAGCCCCAGCGTGTCAGCCCCAAGATGGGCAGACCAGCCATAGGCTCAGCCCTGCACAAGGCTGTCCTAGCAGGTAGCAAGGCATCTATGGGTTGTATTGCAGTAAACAGAATTTCAGACTTGTGCTAATGGTTGGGGCCACATGGAAAATATTCTCCTTTGGAATATAGTCTTTTCAAAGCTCACTCTAGTAAAGTTGACTTATTTAGGTTGATGCCTTAAAAATAATATGGTGACTTAATAATCTGGAATGACATGTCATTTTCACTTCATGCCTCAGAGTCAGTAACTCTAGCAAGAGTTTGTGTTATTTTGGAGGGAAGCCCATATCAATTTTACTTGTACGTGTCGGGTAGTGACCTGAAAATTACTCTCCACATAGGCCACAAATAATGTCAGATTCCTAAAACAGAGTTATGTGATGGGGGTCTGGCAAAGAAATTAATGAAAAGATTTTAAAAACGACTTTTGTGTTTAGTAAGCCACACATCTTCTCTTCCTTCCACATTACTGAATTAGTGCTTTTCTTTTCTTGGCAGTTTGAAAGCATAAAAGTGGCATCAAATTGCTATCTAGAAACAACTGTCCATTAAGATTACAAGATTAAGTTTGATTTTAGACCCACAACTGCCAATTTGCAGATTTAAAAAAAAGTTTGTTAGTTTTGCTGACAAGAAAAAAGAAGAAGGCTGCGTGCAGGAGCTCATGCCTGTAATTCCAGTGCTCTGGGAGGCCAAGGTGGGAGAAAGGCCAGAGGTTCAAAAGCAGCCTGGGCAACATAGCAAGAACTCATCTCTACAAAAAACACACAAATCAGCTAGGGTGGTGCTATGTGCCTGTATTCCCAGCTACTCAGCTGGGTAAGCTGAGAGGATCACTTGAGCCCAATAGTTTGAGGACATAGTGAGCTATGATTGTGCTACTGCACTAACGCCTGGGCAATAGAGCAAGACCCTGTCTCTAGGGAAAAAAAAAAAAAAAAGGAAGAAGAAAATTTCCAGATTATCCTGTTATTAAATATTTGCTGACACGTATAAAAAATAATGAGCAGAGTTAGTAATTTCAAGAAAACACGGTGGGTATTGAGAGTGTAATGGTTTGAGGCAAATTCAACATATTTCTTAAAAACTTGTTGAGTCTGCCCAAATTAAGGACACTTACACATATGCTTCCATGACTACTCACAATTTCAGATGTATCCAAACACAATTGTTGACCACAATGATTCAGTAAAGAAAGCAGCTGTTGACTCATATCAATGACACAGAAATAAGAACTCCCCAAATCACCACCAGATCCTCTCTAAATAAATATTTAAAAGGCGTGACTCTCCCTTCCCCCTACCAGTCACTGCACCCCCAGCTCTCAGTGGCTACTCAGCAATTCTGGTTACTCAGGAATACAGGCGATCACAGAGCTCACCGAGAGACTCAGTATTTCATCCTGTCACTATTTTGCTTTGCTATTACATTGCAAATATTTTAAATTTATGGCTGTCTAAAACTTTACACACTACAATTATAGTTACTTAAGGGAGACTTTCTTATTTTCTATATATTTTTTTCAGTTATATGATGGACACTGATATTTAAAGTAAGAGAACAGTAGAAAATCACCAAGGTTGTTTTACTGTTTTCACTTGAAGGTTTCTCTAGGCTGAACAGACACACCAGGTGTCTTCAGTTTCCCCTCCAGGGCACCTGCTCTGTGTCCTGGGAGTTGATCTATATGGACAATCCGTGTTGGGGCTCAGAAATCGATACCCTCTAAATATGGTGCTTGGACATGCTGAACTGAAGAGGCAGCATCAAGGTCTCTCTGACCTTCCTCTCTCTCCCCACAAAGCACCGGATAAGTTGTTCTCTGAAGTTTCTTCAACTGTCTAAAGCTCAGAGTTCCCAAGAAGAAAACAATTACTCTGGGCCCTTCCCTGAGTTTTCATCAACTGAACTCATATCACAGGAAGAAAGGCTGAAGTCTGTCAACACACCTGGACCGACTTCTGTCACACACCATTGCTCTGTGGGCCCAAAAGACTCCGTCCCAGGCCACTGTGTGTTCTTCAAGCTCACTGAATTGCCCTAAAACCATTCACTATCCCCGTAAAATCATCTGCACTTCTCTATGCTTCTCCATCTCCTTTTCCCTTAAGAAGAAGGGTACATAAGCATCTGTACCTCACTGCGTGGAGGGGGACTCACCCTTGGTTTCACCCCAGTGCACATTAATACATTTGTATGCCTCTTCTCCTATTAATGTGCCTTTTGTGAGGTGATTTTCAGAGAACCTTCAGAGGGTGAAGGGGAAATTTTCCCTTGGCCCCTACAACCACATCAGCCGGCTTCCTGGCTGCTGACTTCCCGTGGGTTCTGCTCTGGGGAGGCACTGGTGGAGGTCAGGGGCTGAGGGTGGGCTATTTGTTCCCTTGGCCCCCTCTCTGCTGTCGCCCGTGGACTGGCTCCCCTTCTGCTGAAGGCCACCACTCCATCCACCACCTTCTCCAGGTTCCAGGAACTGCTCTCTCATTCTGCCCTTTCAGACCTCAGGGTGAGTTAGATCCCCGCTATTGCTATCCCTGGGTTACTGCACTGTTTATTTTTGATTTTCCTAAACCCCACCCTTATTTTTGTAAATAGTCTTCGTATTGACTGTTTCTTAAATTACCTAATTTGAGCATGCCTTATGTTTCTTGCTGGGACCTTGAGTTGAATGATAAACGGTATAACATCTACGGAGTTTTTCTTCTTCTTCTTTTTTTTTTTTTTTTTCACATAATGCTTTCCTTGGTTGCCATATTCAGGGTTTGTGATATTTTGACATGACCCAAGAAAGCAAGTTTCTGTAAAGAGGGCTAGACTATGCAGAGCCGAGGCTAGCAGTTCACCATGACTTACTTGTGGCTCCAGCTCACCCCGACGTTTGTAGATGGCTTTTTCTCCAGTCAGCCCATCAATGATCTTGGCGTCATCTAGTTCCCCAGTAGCTTGATGTCTTAGCCACTGTCTTTCTTTACCTTTAGCCTACAAAAGACACACACACACACAAAGCCTTATTTTAATTGGTTCTGCAGGGTCTCTGACACACTTTGTGCATGAATAACAGGAAACACACCTGGGATCTTTTCAGTAAGTGACGGTTCTGCATGAACACAGTCGTATAAAAGAACTGGTTTCTGCTCTCCTGACAAAGAAATGCCCTTTGTCTGTTTTAATTATTTCAACATATGGAACAATAAAATGAACGAAAGGTGGTATGCAAATGAGTCCCTGGAGAGATGTTCAATATCTGGAAATAAAATAATAGGGATGCATTTCTTATGGATTTCCTGTCACAGGGCTTCTCAAAAGTTTATCAGTTAAAATAATCAGCTTGAACTTGTTAACACTGTCTGCAAGCCCAGAGAAAACATGACCTTTAGAATTCTACCTTGTGGAAAAGAGTTTGTTACTCAAGTTCTCTGTGACTTAGTGTGCAAATGGAAATAGCTGAAAACAATAGTATGTGAACGTTTGTACCCCACAAGTCTTTCTGGTTATCTATCTTCAGAAATCTTCTGCATTACTTTTCTACACGTTTTTCCACAAAATACTTTGCTACAATAACTTACAATTATGCCAGATGAGCTAATTTTACGGTAGTAAACTGATAAAGTATTATAGTATTCCAATCAAGGCATATGCTTATTACAGCCAACGACTATATTTACATTAATGAGTGGGAAGAATAGCTAAGATGTTTTTATGCATGCAAACTAAAGTAGTAGTTAAGATTATGTGTTCCAGCATCCGCCTGGTTCTAACTGTTCTTTCACCACTGTTCAATATCTGATCTGAGGCAAATTACTTGACCTGTCTGCATCTCTGTTTCTTCATCTCTAAAATGAAGACAACACTAGTCTCTACTTTAGTAAACTATTGTAAAGATTAATAAAATCTTACTTGGAATCAGCTAAGAAAGGGCCTGGTGAGCTATGTTAGCTGGTACCACTATTTATTGCTAGTGGATGAAACGCTAAAGTGGACAACGAAGTCCACTTTAAGTTAAGCATGCTTCCATCAGTGTTTCATGGGAGGTGGCTATGTGATAGCACTGTCATTGGAAATATAAAGCCACTAAGAAAGTGACATTACACAAAGAAGCGCCACACAATATAACTCTGGGTATTATAGTATGTATTGTTTTCTTGTTCCTGATACCCTTGCTGGACACAGGGGCAAAATTACCATTTTGGAATACCCATATATTAATGCAAACATCACCAGCATACAGATTATTAATTCTGGTGGGTGGTTAATTCTAAGAACTACCAGGCATGCCACCCTTGGGAGAATGTTCTTTCCAGATTATGTTCTTGGCAAGAATCCCATGATCTCTCAGGAAAATGGGTCACTCTGGAGCATTGCTATCATGTAAAACTTGATCAGATACCCAGTTATGGGTGGCAACAGGAAGGAATGTGCACAGTCTTCTAGAATCCCCCTTCCTATTGGTCTATCCATGAATCAGACAGACAAGCTTAACCACACAGCACAGTCCTTTTCAGACCCCCTCACTTCACCAGTGATTGGAACTTAGCTCTTATCTCTTTTTTCCTAACATTTCTGTTCTCTGGTATGGATAATCCTCAGGCTTCCCAGATAATTCATCCTGGAAAATGTTATTGTGGATGACCATCTGTGTACCTTCAGTCTTTACATTCTACAGCTCTTGGAGGTACCAAGCTGCAGAGCACTGGGTTCTAATGGCTTTCATAGATGAGGACAGACTCTCACAGACCAGTCTAGAGTAGGAAAACCAGCACTGAAGAAAGTAAAAGAGAACATGGTGGCAGTGGTTAGCAGCCATTAAAGTGGCATGGAACTTGGATTCTTGAGCCGGGTTTAAAAGAAATGCAGGATTAGAACTGGAATGACATTGTATAACATGTTACTTATTGGCTGGGCCACTGTCATCATGAAGCATTGATTTTCCAAGTTTTCATAAATACATTGACAAGGCAATGACCCCAAGGACTCCCTACCCAATCCCATTAGCTGCTACATGGTTTTATTAACCAGTGATGCTTTTACCATGTAAAGAGCCACTGCAATGGCTACAGATTGTCATTTTTGTCATTGTTGTTTTTTTGAGACAAGGTCTGTCTCTGACACCCAGGCTGGAGTACAGTGGCATGATCATAGCTCACTGCACCCTTGAACTCCTGGGCTCTAGTGATCTTACCTCCTAAGTAGCTGAGACTACAGGCATGTACAACCACAGCTGGTTACTTTTTTGTTTTTAAATTTTTGTGGAGTTGGGGATCTTGCTATATTACCCAGGTTGGTCTCAAACTCCTGGCTTCAGGCAATCCTCCCACCTCAGCCTCCCAAAGTGCAGGGACTATGCCTGTGAGCTATTTTTGTGATTTCTAATGCAGGTCACAACTGTAGTAAAAATAAATTTAAACCCCACCATCTTACCATAGAGAAAATAAAAAATGCTAAAATTCTAACTAATAACTCTACTGTCCTCTTTATTTTGGTGTTTCTAAAACCAGAATATACCTTATAGTTGATGGCAAAAAAAACGTGTCAAGATGACTGGTAGAGGGACTAATTGTGACCTGGTTGCTGTAGCTGGAGGACACACAAGTGATGTTGGTGGAGCATAGCAGGCATCAGCTCACGGAATTATTTCCATTGATAGCTCAGGTTTGTTTTTAACTTCAGTTAAAATTCCTAATTACTATTTTAAACAATTAAAAAACATTACACTATATAGAACATTAGAATAATGAACAAAGAAATGGAGCACTGGATGCAAATACACCATAAGTGAAGCAAGATTATTTGCTCCAGAAACGACTACACTTCCAATAAGATTTACAAAAGCAAGATTCCCCCAGGGGGAGGAATTTGGATTTAAATTTGTTGGGAAGACAAATTCCTAGAGGACTGCATGTCCCAGGCCATGCAATTAAAGAGGGAGAAACTGCTACATTTCAGGAAATAGATCACAGAATGCTTAAAACTAGAAGAACTGGGAAGACTGATTCAAGTACCACGAAGGACTATTAGGCCCTGTCAAAAAATTCAAGGAAAGCTGTTAAATTTTCTGTGATGTGTAATGCAATTAAGCAAAACATGTAACTCTCAGTTTACAGTCACCATCACGCAAGAGTCCAGGGCTTTTAGGTCTTAATTTTCTTGTGCTGATATTGTTTCTTTTCCCATAATGATTATAGCTTGAAGACTGTTTCCATTACATATGCCAATAAAAGAAAAGGACTTGGTAAAATTTGCAGTGAGAGTGAGGGAGAGGAATACGCCTTTTCCAATAAATCTGCTACCTTTTTCTTCCTTTCTGGGGGTTAACTTTTCAAGTTTAAGTACTTGTAATAAAGTGTACAAATCTTAAGAATGTACCTTTACAAAGTAAACACACAATCTTAATCATCCACACCGCCTAAGCCTCGCAGTGCCCGGTTCTGGATGCTACCTTCTCCTTGCCAAAGGTAACCCCTATACTGACCTCTATTACTATGAATTAAGTTTGCCTGCTTCTGGACTTTATAAATATGAAATCATACAATATATACTCTTTTGTTCCTGGTTTGTGTGGCTCAACATTATCTCTGTGAGTTACCCATGCTGTGTGTAGCAGGACTCGATTCTCTTTTGTGCTGCAATGGTATTCCATTGTATGACTTTGTCACAATTTACCCATTCTACAATTCTGTTGATTTCAGTTTGGGGCTATTATGAATAATGCCACCATAACTGAACATGTCTTTTGGAGCAGGTATGTGCATATTTCACTGTGTGGAAAGGCTGGGTCACAGAGTATGGATATGTTCAGCTTTAGTGTATACTGATAAACAGTTTCCAAAGTGTTTTTCCCAATTTACATTCTTGTGAGCAGAGTATAAGGGTTTCATTTGCTTCTGTCCTCACCAACACTTTATATTGATAGCTTAAAAAATTTTTTTTAGCCATTCTTTGGGTGTATAGTATACTCCTTCATTTTTATTTTTATTTGCAGATAAATGAATTACTTTTGGTACTGCTTGTCATTGATATTTTTAGGAACATGAACCAGTAGTTTTTGTTTTTGAGAAGTAAACATATGTATCAGCCTTTCGAGTCAAAACTATTAGGCACAAAGGCATTTTTATAGTAGTAGCACTGTTCATTAGTTTTCAAGTATGTAACTTGCAGATAAATATGGGTAGAAATTTGATTTTCTATCCTCTAGCCAGTCCACAATACTTGGAAACTTAAAATAGGAAGAGGCCTGTCAGAATGAATGCTCTTGGGGGCAATGGGCTGGAGGGGGAGCTCTTTAGAAAGTTACTGAAGGCTGAATAAAAATATTTACTGTTTTGGACTGTGTATACAAAGGCTTCTGTATTTTATGAGACTTAGTGAAATACTTCTTGAAATAGTAAGTTCCTACTGCATTTAAACATATACTTTTGTTTATAATAAAAGGCCAAACATGTTGTTACGTATTCCTATTGCATGAAGTAAAAGTATCCCTGTAAATACGTCCATCTGTTTTGTATTATACATAAATTCACACTAATGAGAGTTCATTATATATAAAGTGAGGGTGCATTAGTAAAGTCTATGTTACAGATACTCTGAAAAAGAAATAGAATTTTATTACTTCCACATAAAGAATACTTAAACTCACTGAAATACTCAGAGAATGATGTATTCTGGTTAATTCATTTTCCGGGAAATACTTGGTTAAGCAGAAAGTACGTACACACACACACACACACACACACACACACACACACACACCTGTAGCACTAAAGACAGAATAAATAAACTTGACAGAAACCAATCATCTTGTGGCTTGTGACACTTTGTCTAATGATTTCAGCACTGAAATCATTCTGATTAATCTTATGTCTTTACTTATTTGGGTTATGATTAATCAAGACTTTTTTTTTTTAACCTACAAACTCCATAATCAAGCCAATTTTATATTAGTCTTTCCAAATTTGTTTAATGAAGAGAACAGAAAGACTTAA